ACCTGACTGCTGCTCCCACCTCACTGTCACCAAGGTTGTCCTGGCTGTGTGGACCAGATATAATTCCCTGGCAGCCTGGCTCTGGCTTGCAGACCTTAGGTTGCTGATCCCTGATCTAGGCACCCTTGACCAGATATGATATGGGCTGCCCTGTGCTTCCTACCTGCAGACTCACTGTTCAGTGTAAGCTGGCTGTGGGGGGCAGCCCCTTCATGGCAGGAAACAGAAGAGAGTTTGGGATCTGGACAGTATTTCTGTCACCTGAACCTCACTGGACAGACTCACTGTAGTCCTACATCCCCCTCAGATGACACTATCTGCACCCAGAGAAGCTGGTGCTGCTCTCTCTCGGTCTCTTGTCAGTTCCTCACCCCCTGCTCCATGAGGCTAAGTAGGACAGCGGCTTGCCCAGCAAGTGCCAGCAACCAATATTGCTTAGCATTTTGACTGATAGTCAGGAATCAGGACTCCAAGTTGCTTCTATTTGTGGCTTGTGAGGGAGTGGGATCTAGTGGGGTTTGATCAGAGAATTAGGTGCCAGAGCTCTGGAGATCTGTTCTCACAAGGTCACACAGGCCCTAGAGGGAAGCAGGAGCCTGGGGGCAAGATACCTGGGTTCTTCTCCCACCTTCACCCTGTGGGATCTTGAAGTAGCCCCTTCCCCTCTGCATGCCTCAGGTCTTCCATCTGGAGCTCTCCCAGAGGCACACAGACACTTAATCCAGTCACTTCCATAGAGGGCCCTGGAGAGCTATGGCAGAAGGCGACACATACTTGTCCCTCCCAGCCCAGGAGAAAGTTTGCCCTGCAGAGTCCTTCTTAAGGAGTAAGTAGCACAAGCCTACTGCCTCAGAGCCTGGCGCTCCCTTCCCTGATGCCCTCATGATAAATGCACAAGCAAGCAGCCTATTTTTCTAGCCGCCTGTCAGCCCAGGAGAGAGAAAAAGTTCCTGTCAGACACCACCTGCACGGGGAGAATTAGCAAAGAAGAACTTTTTCATTGAAAATTCTGTCCCGGCCTGGTCAGAGCCAGGTGATGTATTGCAGGGGATGATGAGAAACGTGCTTCTGAATGGAGCATGGGTCGAGAGACAGGCAGAGCTGTGCAGTGCCTCTATGCTCAGGCCAGAGCTGGGGGGGGGAGAGGTAGGGCACAGGAGGGAATGGCACTTGACAACCCGCAGAGTAATTGATCTGGATGCCAATTTGCAGCAACTAAATATTTGGCTTCTGTGCTGAGAACAGCACAGCTCCCTGCTCAAACAAACTTCAATTAGAGGAGACGGATGGAGTGAGGGGGGCACGGATGCTCCCGGCTTTGGCAGTGCTTGCTCCAGACGCCGGCAGATCGATGGCAGGATCTTTAGTGAGCTGGCACGTTGTCAGCACGGGCAAGGGAGAACTTAATGCCCCCTCCCCCCCAAGGAGACACGGCAGGGCCCACCTGCTGCTGGACCCCAGACTCAGAAGGATCAGGGCTCCCGCAGTGCAGCTGGGGAGGCTGGCTAATGCCAGGGGCTGGCAGGATGGCTTAGCTGCCTGGAGCCTGGGAAGGGTGCACGATGCCAGGGATGGTGCTCCCACCAGGTCCTCTAGTTTCAGCTTATTCATCCTGTCTCCTGTCAAGTGGGATCAAGAAGCAGGTCCATCCCATGAGGCTGCAAGCCTCTGATCACTCACTCCTCTGGTCTGGTTCTGCCTCCGCATTAGAATATGAGTCTATTTAAGAGGTCCCCTGCCTCTCCCTGATCCCAGCATTGGTCTGCTTGCCCCAGTCTACCAGAGCCCATCAGTCCAGCTGCCCCAGTCTCCTGCCCTCGCCAGTGGCGAGAACTTAGACCTTCAGAGAAAGGAAATGCTCATTCCCAGAGCCATTGGCCAGATGGGCATTTCTCTACAGCAGCTGTCTTCCCTACAATGTATGGGGGCCTCTCCCCTTATGATGGGCCTGCACTCTATTGTATGGGTCTCCAGGTTGTTCTCAAGGGGACAATACTCACCGCACCAGAAGGAGTTTGGAGCCATCTGTAGGCACATGGAAGAGCAGCATAAGGCAGGGGATGCCAAGTGATCATGGTGCTGGAAGAGCCAGTGGTGCCTGCCCCAGACCTGCATGGCACACAGGCTTAGTGCAAAGCCCACAGTGCATGGGCATGGCCTGCTTGGGCACAAGCTGTGTATGCCTTTAGGAGGCATACAACAGGTAGCACTGTGACAGCTGAAGGACCCAGCGTCTCTCCCTCAGTGCTGGGCACCTGCAGGGGGTGCTCTGGATGGGGAGGTCAGCAGGAGGTGCACACAGAGCAACAGGAGTGAGAACATACACACAGAAATCAGGCTTCAGCCACCCCTGAGATGCAGCCACTTCAAGGGAGGGATGCAGAAGCTGTTCAACAGCACACAACAATGTCACATTACAGTTTTGGGGTAGGAAAGGAAGGTCAGCCCTGTTTGAAAATGCCTTAGGGCTGCTCTCAGGGAAGACGGTGAGATCCCTTTCATGGCTAGTGGTGTTTCAGGACTGACTCATCTCAGGGAACGGGCCCTACAGCTGGGCACTTCCCAACTCCCTGCTCAGTCTGCTGACACTCTGGCTCACTGCTCTGTCCTTTGCTCTGTGGGAAACCTCACCTAGGTGCCTGGCTGGGCATGAAAACATCGCCATGCATCACCCTCCAGGCCCTCTCACAGGCCAGTGATACTGCTATTGGTACTAAAAAATGACAACTGCCCACTGGCAGAGACATTGCAGCTGTGCTGATGGCGGGGAGGCTGCCCAGGGAGTTAGAGCTGAGCTGTAATTGGAACAAATAGCAGCAGCAGTGAGTACACGAGTACAGAACTGTGTCACTGACTGTGTGAGCAGAGCCCCACATGTGCTGGGACCTCTGGGGACTGTCAGGAGTACGACTGGAACATAGGCAGTCAGGGCTTGATCCTTAAGGGTCACAACCCATGGGAACGAGGCAAGTTCAGGAGAACAGTGGTCCCAACTAGAGTCAGAAGGCCGAGGTTCGTAGGGGCCACAATGTAGGCAGTCACCCTGGGTAGAACTACAAGCTGGGGAGTCAGAAGCAGGGGCCAAGATCCAGATCGTATTTACTAGGCAGGGAATCCAAGGCAGGCAGCTGTAGCTGTAAGACATGGGCAATCACCAAACTAAAGCTACAAGCCAGGAGCCACCTCTCAGAAGACAGGGTCATGGACTGGAGTTTGGAACACAGTGACCAACCTGGAGTCTGGAGCATGGAGCCAGCAGACAGAAACCAGGTCCAAGTGTGGAGCCATGAAGCAGGATGAAGGACTCAGGGAACTAGGAACAAATGGGCAGAACTTAACACCCAGGAAAGTAGGGATCAATATGCTGCAACCAGTCCACTCAGACTGTGAAGCCAGAAGCCCCAGGCTGGACAGAAACCTATTGGACACTGTAAGAGCTGCTGCTTACAAGCAGGCACCATGCAGGCAACTGAGGTCAGCAGGGGGTATTCAGGCCACTGGCACCCAGATCTACTTAGGTTACCAGAGCCAGATGAGGGCAATTTAGGGAAAATGAGTGATGTAGTGGCCAGTAGAAGACTTTGCTAATAGACAGGAGCATGTAGTCTTTGTTGGGTGCCACTGAACTGCAGATAAATGACACTGCCTGCGTGGCACGTCTGCTAAGGTGCTTGGGGGACAGCTCGCACTTGTCTTCATCTTGCCACATTCCACGGAAGCCAAGGGGACTGGCTAAGGGAGGACGGGGTATAGAGGGAGGCAAGGTTTGCCCCTGAACACAGCCAGCATCTGCCACAGAAATAAGGCCACGTCTGAAGCTGAACACAGCCACTGTTTAACAGAGAGGAGGAATGCTGTGTGGCTGTTGAGAAGAGGAAAATCCTCTATCCAAGCAGTAGGGCGATGTCAGGCAGAGGGGGAGTGAGATGCATGTTCAGACATCACAGTGACAGGCATGGGGCTGCTGTCTCTGCCATCCTGTTGCTGTAGCACTTGGGTTGCTCAGCAGATGACTCAGTCCATAACTTCAGGTTTAAATATGTGGCAGCGAAGAAGACAGAAGTGCCAGTGACCCAGAGGTGCCATTGTAGATAGTCCAACAGTCACTGCCCATGGCACATGCTCATTATCTGTGCTGAATCAACAGATCCAGCCCAGGATCTCAGCCACCTTCATGCCAGGTGCTGCCCAGTGAGGAAACAGGCTTGCCTGCAAAGCTCATGGTGCAGGGTAGTGACAGGGCCACCTCAATGCTCAGAAAGGGAAGGATCATAGATGGGATGCATGGATGGAGAGCACTGTCCTAAGGTAATGCAAAATAGTTGTAATCCTTGCCCCCAGGGTCCTTTCCTCCCTGTGGCAGGCTGTCAAGGGAGCTCAGCTTAGCTGGTGCTGAGCTTCTGGAGCAGACTACCCCTCAGGCTCACTGGGACAGCTGCAGGGGTCAAAGCGCTTGGGTAAACCCACCCCATTATGCTGGTGTCTAATTGTGGAGCTAAGCTATGGGGAATCCTGGCCCCTGGGCATTGGGGCATTGCATTCTGTTGCCTCACACTGTGTTGTGAGGTGCTTTTCCGGTGGCTGGGTCCACGTGGAGATGTTGGGGCCCATCCCTGTGACCTTGGGCAAATCAGAAGCTCGCTGTGCCTCACTCTCACCCCAGCAAAAGTGGGCACTGTGCTGCTGCTGAAAAGCCAGATTCATTAATGCTTGTGAAATGTCGGAGCTCCCCGAGTGAAGTACAAAATATGATTATTGCCATGGCCTCTATATCCCCTGGACTAATCGCAGCACCATTTATTGTGGAGGCAGCTTAGCTGTATAGGGAGGAATGTAATAAGTGTTTATCTCCTGTGTGTGCCGAGTAGAGTGGAGAGAGTTTGTATTAGACCTTCCTGCTTCCAAGGCTGATTTATGATTTGCTGGGAGGGATTTTCAGTGCCATGCACTAAAATTTCAATTAAAGGCATATTAAAAAAAAAACAGACGAGAAGCGAGGCTCACGGCGAGCGGAGGAAGTCAGAGGATTTATTGCTTATGTACTACTCCCCTGGCACCACCTGAGCAGAGTAGGGGCAGGGACTTGACTGGGAGGGGAATGGGCACCAATGCTGGGGAGGGAGCCAGGAGCCCAAGGCCTGGTGACCTGGTGACTGGGAATTGCCTCCTCTCTCTGTCCTGAGGCCAGAGGGCTGCAGTGAGTTTCTCCCTGACCCTTGCACATACACACCACGTAGAAACCTGGTGGGAGTTGTCTTCTTCACCCTACTGTAGCCACTGCTGGACACGGCCTGAAAAAAGAACAGGGCCCAAGTATCCCTCCAAAGGAGACCCAGTTCACAAGCCCACTAGAGCAGGGCAGATCTCAGGCTGTGCCTGGAGCAAACTTAGCCTTTCCACTGAGACTGTCTACTGCAAAGCAGCCTGGCTGGCACTAGAGCCCATGGAGAAGGGCAGGAGCAGGGCTCAGTGGAAGAAAATGGTCCAGTGGTGGCTGGGCTGTGCTACAGCCTCCCCTGGCAGATATGCATCAGGACTACCATAAATAAAGTCACTGAGAGGTCAAGTGCCTGGTCACCACTGCAGGCTAAGCTCATGGCATACACAAGGAGCACCTGGAAAGGTGCTCCTTGACAGCCATAATCCCACCCCCAGTTCAGGGCTCCCTCTGCACTTGCTATTGGCTCTGTGTGTCTCCACCCTTACCCCTTAATTGCCTCTGCCTTCCCAGGCCCGCCTTTCACTTCCATGTCAGGAGCTCTTTGTGCCTCCACTGCCTCTACCTCCTCCCCCCCACCCATGCCAGGCACTCTGTATGCTCCCATTTACTTCCACCATTCATATTCTTTCTTGCCCAGCAAAGATGGTGGTAGTGAGTGCTGGGATCTCTGCAAGGCAGGAACCAAAGGAAGCCACCTATCCCACATTTCCTCTTTTTGGACCTTCTGACTTTTACTAAAATCAGGAGGATCCCTGCAATATTGAACCAAACTGGAGGTGGCCACTCAAAGCTACTGTGTTACCCACAGCTGGATATAAGAGCTCCTCAAGAGAAGGGAAGCAAGAGATCTCACTATCCAGGCCAGCCTGGGGAGATATAGCCAGTGCTTGCTCAGGCTGGCTCACAGCTTGCTGCCCACAGCCTGGGGCAGTTGGATGTGGCCTTAATATTATTATCAGCAGCAGGAGCAGGTTGCTAGCAGACAGAGCAGGGAGAGTGTGACAGCATCAGAGTATCTGTCCAATTTGCAAATGGAAGAAGAGATAAGTTCACTTTGGGGATCTCACCTGGGGACCCTGCATCTGATGATGGTTAATACCACATAAGCAAGGGGCTGCCAGTGGTTCAGGGCGGCACAAACCACACCAGAATGGAAGGGCTGCCCAGAGCCCTGGGCGCACACAGCTGCTGGGGGAGTCTGCAAGCAGGCTAGGGGCTATACACTAAGGCTGGGCAAAGAGAGTGATTGAGTCAAGATGCCTGGGCCTAGCCTTGGCTTTGCTGCTGATTTACTGGGTGACTTAACTAAGTCCCCTCCTTTCTCTGTGCATCACTTTCCTCATCTGAGCAACAGCAATAAAACCTGCCACAGCAGCACTAACACTTCCCTGCATCATAATAAGGCAGGGAGGTCAAAGGTATGTCTCCTCACCATCCAGTGAAGATGGTCCATGGCTGTGCACAGACTGGGGTGGGGAAGCTGAATCAGGGTATATTACAGTAGCATAAACCAGGCCTCTCTGTGCCAGGTGCTGCACACAGGCACAGGCAAGAGATAGGCCCTGCCCCAAAGAGGGCACAGTCTCACCTCACAATTGCAGGAGGGGAAAATGGGGCATGGAGAAGGACAGGAGAGCAGATC